ATAGTGTATGGTGTATAGTGTGTGTGGTGTATGGTATATAGTATGTGGTGTATGACGTATGGTGTGTGGTGTATGGTGCGTTTTGTATAGTGTGTGGTGTATAGTGTGTGGTGTCTGGTGTATAGTGTATGGTGTATGGTGTGTGGTGTATAGTGGGTGGTGTATAGTGTGTGGTGTATGTTGTGTGGTGTGTAATGTGTGGTGTATAGTGTGTGGTGTATAGTGTGTGGTGTGTGGTGTATAGTGTGTAGTGTATGGCGTATGGTGTGTGGTGTATAGTGTGTGGTGAATAGTGGGTGGTGTATAGTGTATGGTGTATAGAGTGTGGTGTATGGTATATAGTATGTGGTGTATAACGTATGGTGTGTGGTGTATGTGGTGTATAGTGTGTGGTGTATGTTGTGTGGTGTATAGTGTGTGGTGTGTGGGGTATAGTGTGTGGTGTATAATATGTGGTGTATAGTGTGTAGTGTATGGTGTGTGGTGTATAGTGTGTGGTGTATAGTGTGTGGTGTATAGTGTGTGGTGTATAATATGTGGTGTATAGTGTGTAGTGTATGGTGTGTGGTGTATAGTGTGTGGTGTATAGTGGGTGGTGTATAGTGTGTGGTGTATAGTGTATGGTGTATAGAGTGTGGTGTATGGTATATAGTATGTGGTGTATGACGTATGGTGTGTGGTGTATGGTGTGTTTTGTATAGTGTGTGGTGTATATTGGGTGGTGTATAGTGTGTGGTGTCTGGTGTATAGTGTATGGTGTATAGTTGTGGTGTATGGTATATAGTTTGTGGTGTATGACGTATGGTGTGTGATGTATGGTGTGTTTTGTATAGTGAGTGGTGTATAGTGTGTGGTGTATAGCATATGTTTGGCGGCCTGTGGTGTAATGGTCAGCATGCTCGCCTCGCAAGCGAGCTGACTGTGGACAAGTTTCTTTTCGCCATTTGCCTCTGTCTGCCCAGCAAAAATTGGGAACCTGGATTTTAATCCGGTCTTCTCGGACTATTCGTTGACACTGAGTCATGCAACTCGTTAACTTAGGGTGTGGTTGTTGTGTTGGCTGTAGCTTCTACTCCTTAAAAAAATCACGCTTAGGTGGCCCTTGGGCCCGCCATACTCGTTACACGAGGGCAACCATTATTGTGGCAAATGGTGTGTGGTGTATAGTGTGTGGTGTGCGGTGTATGACGTATGGTGTGTGGTATACAGTGTGAGCTGTGTGTGTTGCGTTCTGACCTCGCTTGAGGAGAGGTCACGGCAAACTTAGCTCCTGAGGATTAATTGTCAGTAATGGCTAGTGCCACTTGTGAGCAGGGCTGCAACCTTCTGAGGGCCGAGCTAGTGGCCGAGATAGTTAAGGTCAAGGACGAAAACTTGAAATTAAAGTAATTGGTAGATAGGATGAAGGAAGAAGACACGAGACAAGGAAAGCCCGTGTCTGACGAAGACACAGGCGAATGGAAGGTTGTGAGGAGAAGAACGACCAAACTTGTGGTGAGAAAAGACACAGAGAAAACGACAACAGCAAAATGTAAAAACTCTTTTATTCCTTTGATAGACGAGTTGGACGTTGGCATAGTCAGGGACAGGGTTGACAAGGAAGGTACCAAAACCTTAATTGTTAGAGATTCCCAGGTACGGTACCTGGATAGAGCTTTTTGTGGTAAAAATAAAAATAGGATGAGGGTGTGTTTGCCAGGAGCTGGGGTGGGGATATAGTTGACAGGATGGACAATATCTTGTCTGGTAATGGGAACAAACCCATTATCTGCCTCAGTGCAGGAGGCAATGATATTGGCCGGTGTAGGAGTGAGGAGCTCCTTGATAAGTTCAAGACAGCTATAGAACGTATTAGGGTGAAGGAAGGGATCCCTATCATATGCGGTGTCCTGCCTAGAAGGAGAGTTGGCAACGCTCCCGGGCAGATGGTCGAAGGAAATTTGGCCGACGGACGTTTCACCGACGGACATTTGACCGAACGGACAATAAACCGAACGGACATTTGGCTGAATGGACATAGGGTCTTTTTCTTTTCTTTTTCTTTCTTCTTTGCAATGTATTTGCTTTATAAAATAAAGGATAAAAAGATAACATAATTGTAATGTGATACATTTGTATGATATACATTTTTTTTGCTCATTTACTAAGGGTTAAAAGATATTAATTGTAATGTAATTGCTTTATAAAAATTGCTGTATAAAACGAAATGTTCATAAATATTTAAAGATTGTGGGCAATTGCTCTCAAGAAGTCGATTCTGAGATACTCCTCATATTTCTCAATGCAGTTTTGTGTTTAATATCTGGTACTTCTTCTTGGTTTCCTCAATACCATTTCTGCTGCTGCTGTTCAATTGTCAACTCCCAGTCCGACTGCTCTTTTCTTAGTTTTGAAACGAGACGGCAAACGGTGGGGTGGGTGATTGCCATTCTCTGCTCAATCCCTCTGTGCCATCCTTCAAGATAGTGTGTTGTCCGTGGAAGGCCTTGTGTGTTTCTCTCCAATATGTTCCACAGCCCGAGTTCGAATGCTGGTCTTCGTCGTCTTCCACGCTGTACAACACCAATCCATGTCGCTTCAAAGTAGCCAAGAAACTCAGATAGAAGTTCATCAGTTTCATCATCAAGTGCTGAGACAAATTCATTGAAGCTTTCAGCAACGTCACTGACTGGCACAAATGCTAAAGCTTGAACGGACTTGACGATGAGTGCATTTCTTGGGTCATTATACCAAGTCTGTAGTCCTAAGCCCTGTGTTTGTCTCCACAAGCACTGCCCGAAATGGAAAAAAAAACATCCAAAAATGTTTGTGTTTGGGAAACATGCTGTGATGCTATTAAGAGCCGCTCTTTCATAGTCAATGGTGACTGAAACAGGATTGAAATCTGGTCTCACTTGCTTGAGGGTGCTGAAAATAATGTCATAAGTTGTTTGGTTTTTGTTCCTTGCGATGCAGTATACCAAGGGAATTGTGTGGCTCTCATCCAGAATAACAAGCACTGTATATAACTGAAAGCCTACTGGCGCAGAATCAAATGTCCCATCACACAGCCAGTCGTCTTTGAAAGCAAAAAGCAGTAAGGTTCGAGGTGTTGACAGAATTAGCAGGTTGTCACTTTCATGGATGACAACGTCTTCTCTTCTAATTGATTTCCGTAAGTCGTCAGTTAAAAAGTCCCCGTCTGGTGCCATGCGTTGTCTATGCACCATTCTTGCCAGAGTTTCTTTCTTAGGAAGAGCACCTGCAGCATCAAGTGGGTACTCACTGGTGCAGTTCTGTATAATAGTCGATGTCACTTCCCGCGAATGGCTGACTCTTTCTTTAATTTTCTTTACTGTTTTCAAGGACAGGTTACATCCGGCATCAGGCGGATGTGAGTGATTACTTGCTTCTCCTTGAATACCGTCTTCTTCTGTTTTTAATCGTCCCCAACAACTTCCTTCGTGTTCACATCGCCAATATATTACATTGTCTTTCCGTTTATCAAGCAAAAGCTTTCTTCCTCCTCTTGTCGTTGGTATGAATTCCATGGTCTTAAAAGAAACAAATATTAAATAAAGTAATAATAATAATAATAATAATAATAATAATAATAATAATAATAATAATAATAATAATAATAATAATAATAACAATAATAACAACAACAATAAAAACATCGGCTTACCTTTACAACCTCTGAAGAGCGACTGCATCAGAGTCCAGGCAAGCAGGGCTAACGTTTGGTTGGTTTGGGGCGTGGCTAAAAACTTCACCTGACTTAACATGACTAATTATGTCTTCTTATCTTTTGTGGTTGTGTTGGTGTTGGTGGGTGGATTAGCGTATGTCATAATTTTGACCTGACCTCATGTTTTGTAAGGTCACCCTGTGTACATAAACCTCTCTCAGTCCTTGTAATTCACTAGTTAAATTGGAATTGGGGAAAATAATACTGATTGTTTCCGAATAATGATGCTTATTTCCGACGACTACCAGATATTGAACACAAGACAGAAGACATTTTTTTAAAGCAATTACATTACAATTAATATCTATTATCCTTTAGTAAATGTGCACAAAATACACTGAAAAGAAGAAAGAAAAATAAAAATAAATTAAAAAGGCCACATGTCCATTCGGCCATTTGTCCGTTCGGTCTATTGTCTGTTCGGCTTGATGTCCGTCGGCTTGATGTCCGTTCGGTCAAATGTCCGTCGGTGAAACGCCGTTGGCAAAATGTCCTTTGGCCATCTGTACGCCCGCGGTTAGCAATGAACGGTTGTCACGGGCAGTTGGGGTCAATGGCCATCTTGACAGATATTGCAAGTCAATATCAGTCCTAATCATAGACAACTGGGACAACTTTTACGGCAGAAGGGACCTTTATGCTAGGGATGGGGTGCATCTGTCTAGGGATGGGGTGGCAACCCTGGCTTGCTCTCTCGAGAGGGCAGTTCAAAATATGTCGAGGTCTTTAAACTTCTAGGGGAACATGTGAGCGCGGGAATCGAGGAGACTGCAGTATAGTGTGTGTGTGTGTGTGTGTGTGTGTGTGTGTGTGTGTGTGTGTGTGTGTGTGTGCTGTATGGTGCATAGTATGTGGTGTGCGGTGTATAGGGTGTTGAGTGTGTTCGCACACAGGGTGGTGAAAAGCGTCGAGTGTGGCAGCATTATGTCAGTGTTAGGGTGCAAGCACTGCTTGCTCCCTCTCGCTTGCATCTACTGCTGCAGATTAACCCCCTGCCAGTACAGCCTCCTCACCATCAAGACTCACGCTTTGCCTCCACTTTGCAACACACGGTAACTGGCTGCCTCGTGGGCCCAGGCAAGACCAGCAGGGGATCTCGGAGTAGCAGTGGGCCCATGAGGGACGGTGCTTAGGCCCACTGGCACATGGACACGTCCTGGCGACTACCAACCATTGCCCCGCTGCCTTGCAGATTAACTTTAGTAGGTATGAGGCTGCGGGAGTAAAGCCCGAACGAAAAATTTGTGGTGAAGCCCCGCATCAGGCAGACATGCTTACAGAGCATCAACAAGATTCCAAAGGCGGTATAGGTGGAAGAGGTGGCCACCATGGAAAACCAACGACTACACCGACGGACGAAGGCAATGCCTGCTGGACAGGCTACTGAGGCGAAACCCAACAAACTGGGCTATCGGCAGTCCATTGTAACTCTCCGTCTCCCCAGTCGTTGCAACACTTGCACCTCTGGATCAAGAAAAGGGTTCGCCAAGATGTGTGGTTGCAGCCTGCGCTCCTGCCTCACCACATAAATCAACTAACGCTCAGCCATCATTCAGTTCATCATACCTCTCATCATCATCAAAACCCCTATAGCCCCAAAAGTCCTATGGCGACGGAAGAGTGGCGTAGGGGACAGACAGAGATGACTGCCGGGAGTTTCAAGTCACAACTCTGCACATGGACGGCACAGATAAGATAGATCGCTTATGCACAGGGATCAAGGAATCAGTGCAATCCGGTCTTGTCTGTGCGACTAAGCAGCCTTTTCGTAGTGCCAATCTGCTCACCCACATAGGGAGGAGGCTATAAAACGTGCCCTAAACATAGGCTGCCTAAAATAACAACATGGCTGGGCAACCGCACCCAATAAGGTCATCCTTATGCAGTCGAGAATACAATAAAAATTACTCTCCCCCAAAAAAAGAAATACTAACTATAGAACCTCTCATGGTTGCTGCATGGAATGTCATAACCCTTCTGGAAACTGGCACAAAAGAGCGTCCTGAAAGAAGAACCACCTTTGTGGCAAAAGAGCTGGCTAGGTACAAGATCGACATTGCAGCCATTAGTGAATCCCGGCTCCCAGATGATGGTCAACTCACAGAATAGGGTCTGGCTATACCTTCTTCTGGAAGAGAAAGCCTGCTGCGGAGAGAAACCGCATTTATGGTGTTGGCTTTGCCATCCACCACTGCATCCTACACAGGCTAACTGAAATGCCTATTGGTATCAACGAGCGCCTTACGACGCTTCGAGTCCCACTGAATCACTCACGTCATGCCTTTTTCATCAATGTATACATCCCAACAGTGGATGCAGAGGGTGACATCAAGGAGGCCTTTATTCTATCCCCAGAGAAAACAATGTTGTGCTCCTTGGTGACTTCAATGCCAGAGTTGGCAGATATGCTGACATTTGGCAGGGAATCATAGGGAGAAATGTACTAGGCAAGAGTAACCCCAACGGCATACTCCTCCTCAGCAAGTGTGCTGCTCACAACCTCACTATCACCAATACCTTGTTTAGGCGGGCCGACAAGTTCAAGGGTTCGTGGCAACACCCATGACTCAAACACTGGCATCTCATTGACCACAGACCACAGTGACACTGGTCATCGGCTCGTCGGAGCCAAACTCTCACTTCAAGTCGCCCCAAAACAGTGAAGGCAGCAAGCCTCCAGAAGAGGTTTCAACACTATGGGTCTGGAGGATCCAGATGTAGCACATGCTTTCAGAGAGCAGCTCCAACATGGGCTGATAAACAACCCAACAGCGAACATTGCAAACCCCAGTGCCGAATGGGATATTTTCGACACTGCCATGACAAAAAACAGCGAAAAGACCCTTGGCCAGATCGAATGTATACACTAGGACTGGTTTGATGAAAATTACCCGGCAATCAATGCACTCATCGATTATAATCGTGCTGCTTTAACTGACTAGCAGAACAACCCTCAGTATCTGACCAAAGCTGATACCTTCTGGAAGAAAAAAAATTGGTTTAAAAATAAATCATGTGAAACACAAAAAAATTACAGATCAGCTCAAGATGTGCGAATTTTTAAATTCCACTAAAACATTTTATGGGTCAATCACTCATGGCGCAGCTCCACTCTGCTCATCCGATGGTAACTCCATAATTAAAGACAATGAAGGCCTCCTTCAGCGCTGGAAAGAGCACTACCATTCACTGCTCAACCGAAACACCGAAGTGGATGTCCTGACTACTCGGCAACCAGAGCTGACCCACCTCAGCTATCCTCCATCCTTGGATGAGGTAGCTTCTGCCATCAAACAGATGACAAATAACAAAGCCTCAGGTGTATAAGCCGAGGTGTATAAGGCATGAGGATCTCTGCTTACCAGCTGTCTCCACTCTCTCCTGGAGAATATATGGGAAAAGGAGGAAATCCGCCCAAGCTCTTAAAGACGACTCCATCGTCAATATTTATAAGGACAAGGGAGACCGGTCAGACAGTGGTAACTACCGCAGGTTCTCGATGCTGTCTGTAGCTGGCAAGATTATCGCTCGAGTCTTCCTCAACAGACTTCTTCCTTAGGCGGAAAACTTCCTCCCAGAATCTCAGTGTGACTTTATACCATAATGTGGCAGCACTGACCTGATATGTGCTGCCCGCCAGATACAGGAAAAGTGCAGAGAACAGCATCGTGACCTGTACATGGCTTTCATCGACCTAACCAAGGCCTTCGACTCGGTCAACAGGGAAGCCTTCTAGTGGACCTTCAGCAGTTTTGACTGCCCACCAATATTCATCGCCATTGTGAGGCAGCTCCACGATGGCATGAACGGCAGTGTCTTGCACAATGACATCCAGTCTGAGTTCTTCCCCATTCAAACGGGAGCTAAACAAGGGTGTGGACTGGCACCAACTCTCTTTTTCATTCTCTTGGTTGCCTTCGTTATTTGTGCCAGTGCCAATTTAGCCGGCGGAGTGGACATCGAGTACCGGATGAAGGGTCATTTCAACATAAGACGACTCCAGGCAAGAACAAAGGTGTCAGCAGCTTCATTACTCAACTTCAGTATGAAGATGTCCCCACCTTTGTTGCTCACACTGAATACGACCAACAGGAGATCCTGAACACCTACTCAAATGCGTAGGTGAATTTACGTAAGACTCAGATTCTCTTTCAACCTGCCCCTGGTTCAGACAGACCTCCAAAATCCATCCAGCTTAACGGTACTACCCTCTCTAATGTTACCCACTATCGGTATCTCAGCTCCCACCTGTCCACCACTGCCGACATCGAGGAAGAGATTCAGCCTTGAATCAGATGTGTATATCAAGCCTTTGGCAGACTCCGAAACCGTGTCTGCAGCTGTATATCGAGCAGTGGTCCTGGGTTACTTAGACGAGAAGACAAGAGAACAAATGTCAGTATTCTCGCTGACACCAACTATAGGAGCATCGAGGCTACCATTATCCATGAAAAACTACCCTGGACTGGCCATGCTACCCGCATGGACGACAGTAGACTGCCACAGCAACTACTTTACAGTCACCTAACGAATAATGAACGCAACGCTGACGGCAACTGAAATGGTATAAGGATAGTCTTAAGACAAATTTGAAAAGTACCAAATCGACCCCCTTCACCTGGGAGACGATTACTCCACATCTTATCGCTTGGAGAAGCACCACATGAGAAGGTGTCAATTCTTTCGAGTTAGTCCGACAGCATACCGAGGCAGACAAGCGCCAACGCCGGAAAGACGCTACCGTCGCCCCTCCCACACGAGATATAGCCGTCCATAGGTGCAACATCTGTGGACGACACTGCCGATCCCGTATCGGCCTCTGTAGTCACCTCAGAGTTCACAAACGAAGATGACATCCCTAATAACTCATATCATTATATCATAGCTGGATGATTGTCATACACGATTCTGAGTGACAGCAAAGAAGTGTGTGTGTGTGTAAGAATAAATAATAATAATAATAATAATAATAATAATAATTAACGGTTTCTTAAGATAACATGGCAGCCCGAAGGCTGAAAATATACAATGAACAGAAATGATAATATGAGAACATAAGAATGGAGGAAACTGCAGCTGGCCTATTGGCCCATACTGGGCAGTCCCAATTACATCCCACCCATATCACTCATATATCCATCCAAACTGTGTTTGAAGCTATCCACTGTATTCGAGTTAATGATGGTATTTGGTAACTTCTTCCGCTTGTCCACTACTCTATTTCCAAACCAATATTTACCTATTTCGCGCATAAATCTAAATTGGTCTAATTTAAAACTAATGTTACGAGTTCGCTCCTGGCTGGATAGTTTGAGTACCTTTGTAATGTCCCCTTTTTTCAACCCTGACTTCCATTTATACACTTCGATCATATCGCCTCTCACTCTACGTCTCTTGAAGGAGTTCAAATTAAGATGCTTTAACCTGTCTCTGTACTCAAGGTTCCTAATGCCCGGGATTAGTCTTGTCATTCTCCTCTGAACTCTTTCCAAGAATTCTATATCCATTCTGTAATTCGGTGAACAGAATTGAACTGCGTAATCCAAGTGGGGTCTCACAAGCGCAAGATATAGTTTTAAGATGACCTCGCTAGTCTTGTAACTAAGAATCCTTTGTATGAACGCAAGTACTCTATTAGTCTTGTTACGAGCAAATACACATTGTTCATTTGGCTTAAAATTCCTACCTATCATTACTCCTAAATCTTTCTCGCAGTCGGATTTCTCAATATCATCGTTGTTCATCTGATATCTGGTTTTCCTATTTACATCTCCGATACAGAGTACTTTACATTTGTCCACATTGAATCTCATCTACCATTTTTCAGACCATTCAAAATTTTTTTTAGGTCTTCCTGTAGTTTTGCCGAGTCATCGTCAGATTTAATTACACGCCCTATTTTAGTGTCATCAGCAAATTTACTTATGTTGCTGTCTACGCCGATATCTATGTCGTTTATGTATATAATAAATAATAATGGTCCAAGTACTGAGCCTTGGGGAACTCCACTAGTGTCGTTGCTCCAATGGGATTTAATGCCGTTGTGTTTCCTGTCCTGTAACCACTCCCTTATCCATTTTAGAATATCTCCTTTAATGCCATGAGCCTCCACTTTTCTTATTAGTCTTTTGTGGGGGACTCTGTCGAAGGCTTTGCTAAAGTCGAGATATACCACATCATAATTGTGCCCCTCGTCCACTGATTTGAAAACAGATGAAAAGAATGTTAATAGATTAGTTAGACATGAACGCCCGCTTGTGAAGCCATGTTGGGAATCATTGATCGACTTGTGCTTCTCCAGGTGATTTCGAATAGAGTTTGAAATGATTGCTTCCAGTAATTTGCCTACAATTGATATTAG